AGGCAAGGTCAGGAATGAGTCTTAGGATCCATGTGGCTCATAGTCTCCAGCCTGGACATGGAGTAGCACAGTGTCTGAGTGCCCCAAGGGAATGGGCTTGTTCAGGCTCCCCTCCCCGTCCCCAGTTCCAACAGGTCTCAGATCCAGGACATCAGAGCTGAGTGAAGAGCAGAGCTAAAAGGAGCACCATCGGAGCCCTAGAAGCAGAATAGGGGGGGACACAGCACACAGAGACAAGAACTGAGGCCAGGCTGCTGTGTGCTTTGGGCCTAAGTTGACAGATGAAACATGGTAGGGTGACCACATGGAGGATGTCTGTGCACATCCATCAAACTGGCAGGTCCCCCCAGCATTTTCTGGGAGCTTGGGGTCCTCTTTTCCATGATCTTCAGCTTCTGTATTCTATGTGCGCTGTTACCATTTCATCTTGGTAGAGTCTATCCTTCTGTTATTTCTTGAGAGTATGTCCCAATTCTTGCCTGGAGGTTTGGCTAAATATAGAATTCTAAGCAGAGGGTCATTTCTCCTTCAGATATTTAAAGACACTTTCTGTATTGTGCCTCATTGCCATTGTTGATATACCTGAATCTAAATTGATCCCTTGGTGCGTGACTTATCCCCACAGCCAAGGGCCCCTTCCCTTCTGGTCTGTGCTCTGGAAGTCTGCAGGCACATGGTATGGGTAGCCACTGTTTCATTCATAGTTCAATGCTCCGATAGGCCCTTTTGATTTGATAACTCTATCCCTTTCCCCCATTCCCGTTGATGATTTCTTCTTTTGTTCCCCTTTTGATATAGTTTCCTTGCTGATGCTGTGCTAAAATATTCCTACCAAAAACAACCTGGGGAGGAGAGGCTTCATTTGGCTTACAATTCCAGCTCACAGTCATTGAGGGAAGTCAGGGCAGGAACTCAAGGCAGGGAGCATGGAGGAATTGCCTGCTGGCTTCCTCTCTGACTTACTCACAGGTTCTTGTAGGCTAGCTTTCTGATAACATCTCAGGACCACCTGCTTAGCAATAGTGTGGTCCACAGCAGGTTTGAACCTTCTGCATCAGTTACTAATCAAGACATTTGCCCAAAGACATGCCCACAGGCCAGATTGATGTAGGCAGTTCTTAAATCAAGTCTTTTTTGTCAAGTGACTCTAGACTGTCAAGTCGACAGTTGATGCTAACTAGGACACTATTCTACCACTTTTCTTGGTAGAAATATTATTCGGATATTGGAGTTCTTGGACTAGTTTTTCTGGTTCTCCTTTTCTTTCTTTTCCTGTTATTTATATTTGTTTTATGAGATAGGGTCTCTCTGTGAAGTTGTCCTAGACCTTCTGGCCCTCCTGCTTATAATTCCTAAGAACTGATATTACAGGCAGGTGCCATGAGCCCAACGTTTTTTCTTTTCTTTTCACTGCACTCTGTTTGAGAGTCTCATCGTCACAGTCATTCACATCTTCTATTGTCTTGTTTTTCTTTTTAAATGTGCATTGGTGTTTTGCCTGTATGTATGTCTGTGTGAGGGTGTCAGATCTTGGAATTACAGTTCCAAATAATATTTCTACCAAGAAAAAGTGGTAGTTGTATCCTAGTTGGCATCAAATGTCACCTTGACAGCCTTGAGTCACCTGAGAAGAAAGACTTGATTTAGGAGCTACCATGTGGTTGCTGGTAATTGAACCCAGGACCTCTGGAAGAGCACCCAGTGCTCTTAACTGCTGAGCCATCTCTCTGGCTTCCTTCTATTGACTTTTGCAGGCTTCTTTCTTGTTCTTTTGCAATTTCATGGTCTCTGACTGTTCTTCACAGACTCTTACCTCATGCTTAAGATGTCTCTTACTCCTTCAAGGATACTGAGTTTTTGAAGTTTTAATTCTCCTGACTACTGTCTTTTCCCTCCTGTTTGTCATTCTCTGTTTGCCCTGGCCTCTGTCTTTCATGCAGGAAGACTTTTCATTTGCTTTTAGGTTTTTATTTTAACTATTGGTTCATGACTAAAGGGCTAGATGAAAAGGCCAGTGAGAAGGCTGGAGCATATGGGTGATACTTGTCAACCGGGAGCCTCACTGTGGAATGCTTCAGTGGCATGTGAAATCCTGTGGTATTTGCTCAGGCAAGTGCAGCTGTTGAATGCAGACCAGAGCAGCTTCCTTCGAAGGAGTCAGATGTTGCTGACTGTCTTTCTGCAGCTGGTCAGGAAGGTGGGATAGACTTCAGCTCTTTTCAAACAGTGGTCACCAAACAACCACTTGCCCAGAGACTTTGTGCTTTACCATTCTCAGAGAACAGACCTCTGGATGGCCCCATGGTGGAAGCAGCGCACCTGTCTATCACAGGTGCTCTGAAGGAGTTGGAAGAACTACCCATTGTCCACATTTCCCACATTTTCACATGCCAGCTTCACTCTGGGATCTGGGTGACAGTGGGGCTGACATAATGGCAGGGGTTGCAGTTTCAGACTCAGAGTATGTGGTAGGAATGCTGCTGTCTGAGGGAAGACTCATCTGAGCAGTGGAGGCTTTGCCTGTTCCCTGGCATCATTTGACCTGCCCCTCCTTAGAACTGGGAACCCCAGTTCTAAAGCTCCCTGCTTTAAAGATTCTGTGTTGGGGTAAGTTCTTAGCTTTCTCAGGCTAGGTCCTCTGCTCTTGGGTTTCCACGGCACTGTTGTTTTCCCTCTGGCTTTGTGAGTGGTTGTCTTTTGAAAAACTAGTTAGTTTGGAAAATTTTGGGAGGGAGTCAAATAAGATGTATGCATTTTGCCATGTAAGTCCTAACCAAGCCATCTGCTGTGGTATTTTCCTGAGTTTGGTTCTGCCCCTATAGGCAGAGTCTGTCATCACAGATAATTGCATTTTGAACTTGAGCATCTCCCTTCCTTCTTTGTCTGCCTGAAAAAGTCTCTTTATAAAAAAATGTAATGTTAATTTAAAAAGTATTCATTATTCTTGTGTTGTGATACATGAGTATATATATGCTATGATGCATATGTGCAGGTTGGAGGACAACTTTCTGTAGTTGGTTCTCTCTTTCTCCCTTCATGTAGGTTCTGGGGATCGAACCCAAGTCATCAAGCTTGCACAACAGCACCTTTACCTTCTAAGCCTTCTCATCAGCCCTTTTTTTATTGATTGATTGGTTGATTGATTGATTGATTGATGCTAGGGATAGAGCCTAGGGTCTTTTACATGCTAAGAAAATGCTCTACCACTGAACTGCACTCCTAGCCCAACCTGCTAAATTCTTACACTGTCTTCAAAAAGAAGCTCTGATGCTGGATTCTGCAAAGTCCATTTTTATCCCTAAATTCCTAAAGCTGTTTAAATCTCGTGAGTCTTACTGTACAGACCAGCTCTGTGCACCATCTTCCACAATCTCCATGACCTCCTCAGGATGGGCTGGTATCTCTGCAGCTCTGCCCAGTGCCTACCAGGAACTTACAGGTGTCACCAATGAATTTATTGGTGCATGCTCACTTCATCTTGTCCCTATCCACTTTCTGCTTTGACTCCTTCTGGTAAGAGACAAGTGTGTTAACTACTTGTGCTATCACCACACAGAAATCCATATCCCATAATCTTAGTCCTTTTTATTTACTTATTTTTGAGACAGGGTCACACTCTGTAGCTCCCACACTGGCCTTAAACACTGACCTCGAACTCATGGTGATTCTCCTGCCTAAACTTCTCAAATACCATGATTACAAGAGTGACACACCATGCTGGGAGTCATAATCTTAAGTTTAAAAGTGAGGGACTGGTCAGTTTACTGTGCTAGGTTGACATTGTATAGAAATGAACAGCCATGTTGGTCTGGAAATGTTCCTAGTTTTCATTTGTACAAGGATATGCAGTGTGTGAAATAGGGAGAGTCTTACCTATGTGGGTTTGATCACAGCAATTAATAAAATATGCTCTAAATAATGAAAAAAGCCAGTAACTAGTAGTGTTTCTGAATCCTCACTAAAGCTTTAATACATCATAAATAATATATCACTGCAGATTATGTCTACATGTTATACATATCACATTTATAGTACAATCTGATCTTTGTCACCTACTGTAAGCACAACTGAAAAACAAATTTTCTCATAGCTCAATATTAAGTCATTATTATCCCCATAATAAGTAATTATTATCCCCATAATGAAACTATCTATTGAGGGAGTCAGAATCTGAGATAGTTAAATAAATTTAAGCATGTATTTTTAGTGTCAATGGTAAAAATTAAATGTTCATAAAGCCTGTATGACTCCTTTTAAAGTAGTTTTAATTTTATGTGTATACATATATGCATGTTTTGCCTTCTTGTATGTCTGAGTACCACTTGTATGTCTGGTGCCTGAGGAGGCCAGAACGTATCAGATCCCCTGAAACTGGTATTACAGTTTTGAGCTACTATGTGGCTGTTGGGAATTGAACCTGGATGCTCTGAAAGAGCAGCCAGTGCTCTTAATGACTAGGCCATCTCTCCATTTTCTTAAAAAAAAATTTAAAACATTTACTCTAAGATTTACTTTTATGTAGGTGCGTGTGTGAATGTGTATGGTTTATGCATTGGGGTGGGGAGGATGGATTAGCACAGTCACAGAAGACTAGAGGAGGGTCTCTACTATTGCTTTCTGTCTTCTACCCTTGAGACAGGGTCTCTCACTAAACCTGAAACTCACCTTTGCAGCTGGGGTAGCTGGTCAGAAAGATCCTGGAATCTGTCTTTCTCCCTGGCCCTAATGCTTGAGTTACAGGCCCATGTGACCATACCTGTCGTTTTACTGGGGTTCTACAGAGTCAAACCCAAGTCCTCACGCTTGCATAGCCAGCGATTTTACCGACTGAGACATTTATCTGCCCCAATTCATAATTCTTCTCTGCTTCCATTAATAATCCCATCTATGTCCCCTTCATACATATTTCTGAAATAGACAAAATGAATACAAGTTAGACATCGAGTCTGATTAATCTTCAACTTCTTTGATAACCAGGTATTGATTTCTGACTTTTGAAGATGGATGAAGGCACAGAAGTCTCCACTGATGGAAATTCCCTGATCAAAGCTGTCCATCAGAGCCGGCTTCGCCTCACAAGACTTTTGCTCGAAGGTGGTGCTTACATCAACGAGAGCAATGACCGTGGCGAAACACCTTTAATGATTGCTTGTAAGACCAAACACATTGACCAGCAGAGCGTTGGTAGAGCCAAGATGGTTAAATACCTTCTAGAGAACAGTGCTGACCCCAACATCCAGGACAAATCTGGGAAAAGCGCTCTGATGCACGCATGCTTGGAAAGAGCGGGCCCGGAAGTGGTTTCCTTGCTGCTCAAGAGTGGGGCTGACCTCAGCTTGCAGGACCATTCTGGCTACTCAGCTCTGGTGTATGCTATAAATGCAGAAGACAGAGATACCCTCAAAGTCCTCCTTAGTGCTTGCCAGGCGAAAGGAAAAGAGGTCATTATCATAACCACAGCAAAGTCACCCTCTGGGAGGCATACCACCCAGCAGTACCTCAACATGCCTCCCGCAGACATGGATGAGAGCCATCCGCCAGCCACGCCTTCAGAAATTGACATCAAGACAGCCTCCTTGCCACTCTCATGTTCTTCAGAGACGGACCTGACACTTTTTGGCTTTAAAGATAAGGCATTTTCTGGAAGCAGTGATACTACCTGGGACCCAGACTCTCCTCGGCAGAAGCCTGTGATGACCACCAACGGGCCCAAATTATCCCAAGCTGGTCCAGCCTGGATCAAGAGTCCCCCATCATTAAAGCACCAGGCCAGAGTGGCCTCCTTGCAAGAGGAGCTCCAAGATATCACTCCAGAGGAAGAAATAGCCTACAAAACCACCGCGCTGGCACTGTCTAAGCGATTCATCACTAGACACCAGAGCATTGACGTAAAAGACACGGCACACTTACTAAGGGCCTTTGACCAGGCTAACTCCAGGAAGATGTCATATGATGAAATAAATTACCATTCTTTGTTTCCAGAAGGAAACCAGCCATGCATAGAAATTCCCAATGACCAGGACCCAGACTCTAACCAGACCCTATTTGCCTCCACTTTAAAAAGTATAGTTCAAAAGCGAAACTCAGGGGCCAATCACTATAGCTCCGATTCTCAGCTCTCAGAGGGTATTACTCCTCCAAACTTAGAAGACGGCAAAGCAGGAAAGAAAAAAATCTTCGCTCCATCTCCTTCCTTGCTAACAGGGTCCAAAGAAGTAATGGAGACTGTCCCTCCGGGCGCCCTGAGCAGGAGGAACCATGCAGTTTTAGAAAGGCGAGGCTCTGGGGCTTTCCCCATTGATCACAGCCTCGTGCAGAGCAGACCCGGGTTTCTGCCACCCTTAAATGTAAATCCTCACCCTCCCATCACAGATGTCGGTGTCAACAACAAGATCTGCAGCCTGCTTTCCTGTGGCCAAAAAGTGCTTATGCCAACGGTTCCTGGTTTCCCGAAGGAATTCAAAAGCAAAAAAATGTTGTTGAGGAGGCAGTCACTGCAGACAGAACAAATTAAGCAATTAGTAAATTTTTAAGAGACGCCTAGAAAACACATCATGTTCAGACGTCTGGATCAGAGAAACATAGACTTAGAGAAAAAAAATCTTAACTGTATCCTTTTAAGTCTTAGCTAGTGCATCACGGCTAGGCAGATCAAAATATAGAGTATTTTGTATTAGGTACTGTGAGCACACCATAGTATAGAGCTTCTGAGGAAATGCTACCAAAGTGAAAGCTATTTTTCTCAAAACCTCCAGTATTTATCAACTTCCATGTGGTCCAAGGTTTCCATCCAAACAAAATCCTTCAACAGAAAGTTGTCTATGCTAGAAACAATTTTTAAAATTTCAGATTGGCTTCACGCTCTACTAAGAAACAATGATCTCAAGTTAGTAATTTTGTCAACACTTTAGCCAACAAGATTGTAATTTTCCACGATGCCAAAATCGTCAGTAAAGCTAAACTACAAAGGAAGGATAAGCAGATTCACTAAAAATGTTGACTCAGGCAGGTAAAAGTCTTATTTAAAAAATGTAAATGTGAAAAACTAGTCAGAATGAGCAACCATTGTTCATAATGACTGATAAATCTGCATCAACATGGCAGGCGAGGGAGCTGATGGGGCTTACTGGCTGTGCAAGCCAGATGTCCTGAGTTTGGATTCCCAGAATCCACATACCAACTAGACCCAGTAGTGCAACTTTCTGTAATCCCAGCATTCTCTGTGGGGAGATGAGGGGCAGAGCCAGGAGAATCCCCAGAAGCTCATGGTTCAGATAGCCTGACTAACACTGAGGTGAAGAGACCCAGGCGCAAACAAAGGGACAAGGGATGACTGACACACAGCCCTCCCCAAAACTGGCAAGGCAGGGCAGCACACCATATACCAAATTCTGTTGTTTTTGCACTGCAACTGTAAATTCAAACGAATTTACCAATCATGTTATCGTATGGAATTATTTCTCATGTTATTTTTGAGTATTTTATCCATAAGTTTCCAATACCAAGATAATATAAAAATCAAAAAGGACTCATCTTGACTTACATTAATCTTGTCTTCCCAAAAGAAATACCCAAAACGGAGTGAGGGGTTTGCACAAAGTTTGGGATTGAACATAAATGGAAATTAAACGCTTGCTTCATTTAAAAAAAAAGAAAAACTGATTAATAGATTAGTTTAGTTTAGCTAAAATTACAAAATCCAAGTAGAAAATTAATCATAAAATGTATTACTGGGTCATGACTAAGCAGTATCTTTATTTCTGATATGTAGTTATTAGACAGTCATATAAAGATATATAAAGATAATGTCCTCGGTGTGACATTTGGATCATCTAGTATTTTAGGGTCTATGAATAACTTTTAACAAATACACACTATTATAAGATAGTTAAAAAATGACAGTATTACCTACATGACTTCAAAGTATGGTGTTCAAAGAATCCTTCACTTGTGGCAGTTCTAAAGCAAAGAGTAACAGAAACTAGAACCCCCACGGCTGTGGGTCTAATGACATCATCTACAGCTTTATTTCTTTGCCCAACAGGTGGCATGATGCCTTTCTTGGTAATTTGATATGAGCAATTTGAAATGTACATAGATATTATGTAATTATCTGTGGCTTTTATTTTAAAAACTAATTGCAGGTTTTTTCATTTAATGTTTTGAAGAAAATATTAATTACATTAGGAAATATTTTTTATTCAGAAACTAAAATTGTACCGATGTTTATAAGTAGCTGAATTCCTTTCATGAGTTTTAATATCACAAAAAGTACTTGACCTCACATTGTAAGGATACAGTTTGGAAGAATATGTATATAGAGTAATTCATTATCAAGATACTATCAATAAAGATTTAAAATACCAATTTGACTAAGTTTTATTTCTCCCTCAAATACTAATAGCACACATTTCAACATAATTTCAAGAGAAATTGTAACTTAAATAACAAAAAATAAGAATAACTTGTCTTCCCAACATGAAAACATAATTTAACATGATTAAAACTTTGTTGACCATCATTAGATTTTTTAACCTTTTAGCAAGCCTAAAATCATTTTAAATTCAGGCTGTAAGAGTCTGGCTATAAGTCATTCTGTGAGGCTTTTTACTGCACTAAATGGGTGCCACTGGGTGCCCATGATGGGTCACCAATGTTTCCTACGGGAATCTGTGTGTGCGTGTGTGCATGTGTGTCTGAGTGTATGTGTGTGCACATGTGTGCATGTGTGTGTTTATTTTATATTTATGTTTGAATTTCATGTAGAGGTTGATTTAGCTTTAACTTAAAGGTCAAATAATACTACACATACTGGTTTTACAGGTACCATTCTTAGTTCCTGGTGAGCAGAATTTCCTAGATTATAATTAATATAGACCCAGGTAAACAGTCATTCACAGGGGACAGGGCAGCCCTTGTTACTATCCAAAGAAGGAGGTGACATCTGCATAGTGTGTCCTGTATGGAGATGCACAGGCCAGGTATCTAGTGACAGAACCCTTTACAAATCTCATCCTGTTCCCTAATAATTTGATTGCTTAAAAGAGAGACTGCATATTTGAGGGTGATAAAAAAAAGTGTCTAGGAATGCCAGAGATAGAATCAGTCAGCTGCAGCCGACTTGCCCAGTATCCTCGCCATGCACAGGTGAGTCCGTCAGTCATAAAGGACAAGGTGACATCACTTGCAGGAAAACAAACAGAAATAGATATTATCATGTTAAGCAGGACATGCTAGACTTAGGTAAATATACATATTTTGTCATGTGAAATCTAGATTTAAATATATATTTCAAAATGGCTACGATATGGAAACATAAGTAGGAAAGGGTCTAGGTGGAAGAGGAACAAGAGAAGGTACTGGGGAGTTAGATATGAACAAAATGCATGATATTTTCTGCATGAATATATTAAAATGAAACTAGAGAAATGGTTTGGTGGGTAAAGTACTTGCTGGGTAAGCATGCAGACGTGAGTTCAGCAAAGCTAAGCACGGTTATGACCATGTGTAACCCCAGGAGGCAGAGGCGAGAGTCTGGTGGGATAGGGGTTTATGGCTAACCAATCGCACAAGTTTCAGGTTTAGTGAGAGACCTTATCTCAAAAAATAAAATAGAGAACAATAAAGGAAGACATACACACACACACACACACACACACACATACACACACACACACACACCTGTGCATACAACAAATAGAGGTTACAATTGTCAGGTTAATTCCACCAAGGAACACACCCACACTTGTAAAGCCGAACAGAAAGTCTGTATTGCCAGCTGGCTTCTGCATGGGCTACTTGCCCAAAGTATGTAGCTCCAAGCCACAGCTTTCTTTGCCTTTTATGCACAAAACCACATCCTGGTTAACACACTTCAGTTAGCAAGAACAGTTAGTGAGAAGTGAAACCACAGAAGCCAAAAAGCAAGGTTAGTACGTGGAAGGACTTTCTGGGGTCCTCAGACTAGGGACTTTGATGGATTAGATCTTTGTTCCTGGTTTGACAGTTGTAGGAGTTTATGTGCTGGGTTGTAAGGCCCGAATGGCACCTCTAACATGTTGTCAGTTGTGCTAAGGTCTCTGTGCTTATTACATAACACTTATTTTGTATGATGACTATGTTCTAATTAATTATTTAAAATAAAAGCAAATTTTAAGAGCATCTCTTACCACCTTTGCCCCTTGCTGATGTTGCCCTGGGTTGGTGGTAACGGTGTGGGCTTTATTAACTACTTTAAAGAAATAGCAGTTTTGGGTTTTTGTTTTGTTTTTTTTCCTTGTCTTTTGTTTTGAGATACAATTTGTCTGTATAGCCCAGGCTGTCTTGGAACTAGTTCTGTAGATCAGGGTGACCTCAGACTCAAGAGATCTGTCTGCCTCTGTCTTCCAACTGCTGGGATTAAGGGGGTGTGCCACCACTACCCTGAAATGTTTTTCAAATTCGATTCTCCATTCCTACCCCCTTCCTATCTTCCTCACCCTCCTTTCTTCATCTTTCCTTCTTTTCCCCTGCACTCTCTGTGAGTCTCCCTGCATTTCCAAGCTGACCTAGAACTTCTGGGCTCAATGGATCTATGTGCCTCAGTCTACCAAGGAGCTGGGATTACATGCAGTACCTCTGTGCTTTGCTTGAAACCTATTTTAATACAAGGCTTAATCCTTAAACTGGAAGCCATAATTCTTACTAGATTACTAATCATGTTTATATAGCCTTGTCTAGTTCCAGTGTTCTCTAGATAATGCTTACTTTGTTTTGTTGAGATAGAGTCTTACTATATAGCTCAGGCTGGATGTCAACTGAAAATGCTCTTGCCTTAGCCTCTGAATGCTGGAATTATAGGCATGCACCACTATACCTAGCTATTATTTATTCTTTAATTATGTGCATATATACAATGCATCATATCCACCCATAGCTGGTTCTTAGATCACAAGTCCATGTTCCTAGGAGGGTCAGAGCATAGCAAATCTGTCAGCTGGGGTAGATTCACCAGCCCACCTCCCAAGCTGATACCTTGTCTCTGCAAACCTTCTCTTAAAGTCTACAATTAAAGGGAAGGATATGAAAGGGAAGGCTAAGAATGATACACTGCGGATATCAGAAACTGCAGCATGACTCCAGTCTGCTGGGATGCAGGTTCAAATCTGCAATGAGAAGCTTAGTAGTCATGAGCACAATGAGAAGCTTAGGAGTCATGAGCACAGTGGGTTTAGTGACATGGGGTTAGGATGATCAATGGCTGATGAGAGAAATAGATGACTTCGTTAATCACTGGCTTAGAATAGTCTGTGTAAGCGGCAACTGCCAAGGGAGCTAGATCACAATGCTGGAAGATTAATCTGTGCCCACTACTGATCCAGCAGTCCCTAATTAATTGTGGAAGATCTGATTCTGGGGATGGCATTTAAGCCAGGGTGTATGCACAAGACAAGTTGTAGTTTGAATTAAGAATGTCCCACATACCCTCCTGTTCTGAATACTTGTTCCCCAGGCTGATGGCACTATTTTGTGAAACTGGAACCTTTCGGAGGTG